TTTACTCAAAGAGAAGGAATTGATTACAAGGAGACCTTTTCTCCTGTATCAAAGAAAGATTCTCTTCGAATCATTCTGGCTTTAGTTGCACATTTTAATCTTGAGTTGCAACAAATGGATGTGAAAACCGCGTTCCTAAATGATGATCTAGAAGAGGAAGTTTATATGAAACAACCTGAAAGTTTCTCTTCTAGAGGTGGTGAGGATTTGGTGTGTAGGCTTAGGAAGTCCATATACGGTTTAAAACAAGCCTCCCTTCAGTGGTATATTAAGTTTGACGGGGTCATTTCTTCATTTGGTTTTGTTGAAAGTCCCTTAGATCCTTGTATATACCAAAAAGTTAGTGGGAGTAAAATCTGTTACCTTGTTTTATATGTGGATGATATCCTACTCGCCACTAATGAGGTGGGGATGCTTCGCGACGCGAAACAGTTCCTTTCCAAAATTTTTATATGAAAGATATGGGTGAAGCATCTTATGTCATTGGCATAAAGATTCATAGGGATAGGTCCCGAGCCATATTGGGTCTATTGCAGGAAACCTATATTAACAAAGTTTTGGAAAGATTTCAGATGCAAAATTATTCACCGAACGTTGCTCCCATAGCAAAAGGGGATAAGTTTAATTTGGACCAATGTCCTAAGAACGACTTGGAGAAGGAGGTATGAAGGATATTCCATATGCTGAAGCGGTTGGATGCCTTGGCTATATTCAAGTTTGTACAAGGCCCGACATTGCCTTTGTCGTCGGTATGTTAGGGCGGTACTTGCATAATCCAGGCATGGACCACTGGGGAGCTGTGAAGAGAGTTCTGAGGTATCTCAAAGGTACCAAAGACTTCAAGTTGGGTTTTAGGCAGACGGATATCCTGGATGTTGTTGGTTATTCTGATGCGGACTTCGCTGGCTATGTTGATTCTCGGAGATCAACTTCCGGGTACGTCTTCATAATGGCCGGTGGGGCTATCTCATGGAGAAGTGTTAAACAATTCTTAATAACTACTTCTACCATGGAAGCCGAGTTCGTGTCGTGTTTCGAGGCCACTTCGCAAGGTGTGTGGCTCAAGAATTTCATCTCCGGGCTTAAAATTGTGGATTCTATATCTAAGCCATTGAAAGTTTACTGTGACAACTTAGCTGCAGTCTTCCTAACTAAGAACGACAAATATGGGAGTCGAAGTAAACACATCGACATCAAGTTCTTAGCCATTAGGGAGCGTGTCAAGAATAAAGTTGTATTCATTGAACACATTAATCTGAGTTGATGCTAGCAGATCCTTTGACTAAAGGCATGCCTCCATTTAAATTCAATGATCTGATTCAGAAAATGGGACTTTCGTCCACTTTGTAAATTTGTATAAACATTCAGATCAGTTAATGAAATTCTTTTGCACTTCAGTTTCTTCAGATACTTCAGATATTTTCTTTGAGTGTGTACACAATTTAGTTTTATCTCAATAAGAAAATATACTTCAGTGGAATTGAAATGAGCATATGGTTTGTTTCATTAAGTTTGATTACCTAAGTACTCGAAGGCAATTTGCATTTGATCATAATGGGTATTACTCGCGCTAAGAAGGACATATCATTATGCTTGGTGTGATCTTGTTCTTTGGGTTCCGTATATGCACCAAGTGGGAGAATGTAACATTTTCCTTATGTTATTATTATTATTATTATTATTATTATTATTATTATTATTATTATTATTATTATTATTATTATTATTATTATTATTATTAAGGTTATTATAATAATAATAATATTAAGTAAATATGTGGTGCAAATCAATAGGTTGAATAAGTATTAGAACTTAGTCAGCATTAGGTAATTAGTTGTGTACATTGATGGGATGTAGGTATTTAGACTCCCAAGTCCTCTCACTGCTTAGTTGACGTACCATACACCATCTAGAGTCACTGAGAGAAGTGAGTGAAACACAATCAGTCAAAGGTGATTTCACAGCAGTCCGAGGAACTCCCGTTCATCAGACCACGAGTCCAGACGATCAAGGTTTTAAGCTATGGATGGAGGTTAGTGGATCTAACTTGTTTATTTATTGCCACGTATAAAGTGTTCTCAATGTGGATTATGTGCTTACATCCTATACAAAACAAAAAGTAGTATATGCTCTGTAATGGGAAGCTAGGGGAGTGGCTCATGATTAGAAAAAGTGAAGTATAACAAACAATGTCATTTTACCTCATTAACATTTTGTCTAGAGAGGGGGCTGATCTTTGTTGATGTTGGAAGTTAGCTGTTCATTTGTTGGGTAAGTTGTTCCATGTGATCCGCTTTGTTCTATCCATTTTCAACTTTATTGGTTTCATCGACCATAGAATCTTCTAATATGGTTGAATCCATCTGGTCAACCTCAATAGGTGGTGGGCTCTGAAGAAACTTCTCCCAGAAGGAGGAGTCTAGAGGTATGTTGTCATCCATTAGGCCATTCTGCCACTCGATTTGAGGATCGGGAGAAAATCCATCAATTTCTAAGGGCATGTTCCCATTCCCCGCCAGTCATGTTGGATCTATAAGATTACCACTCGAAGCTTCAGATCCTAGGATATCCATGTTGCTTTCAGACACTATACCTCGTAACTGAGAAATCTCTGGCATCATCATATCTGAAGGAGAAAGCGAAACAGGAGGCAACTCTTGAGCTCCAACCAGTGGGCTTATATCTGAAAATTGATCACTGGCCATTTCAGCAGAATTGACGAGAGGGGAAGATTGAATCTCATACATAGTCGGTAATGAACCTTGAGCAGTAACTGAGGAAGTTGCAGGCACAAAAGGCTGCCCAAAAACGTGGTTGGGTGAATTCCCATGATCTAATGTATTATTAGATTGAGAAGAAACATCACTAATCATAAAGTTATCAAGACTACTGCTGCCAAAGTACTCCAATGTAGGAGAAGAATCCATTTTCATCATTTGCCGAAGCACTGCAGCTGCTGCATCATTCATAGGTTGATACTTCACAATCTGACCGTCCGCAGGGCTGACAGAGTGATCATCCAAACCAACTTCCTGTTTAAGCCTTCGTTTCTTGTTCCCTTCAATTATGCGCCTATTGCTGTCATTTTGCTGCTGCACAATGTGTGCCAGAAATCTAGGGCTGTTAACGGCTTTTGTAATGAACAACATCATCTGTTGTTGCCGCTGCCCCATACCCTGTAGGCGCAGCACCATTGTTTGCAACTGATTGTCAGTAGACTGTTGCTGCTGCCTCAACCTAACAAGCTCGTGCATAAGTACATTTTTGTCTCTCTTCAGCCTCTCAACTTCCTCATCAAGACCAAATTTCCCAACCTCGACACACATCCCAACAGATGAACTCTGTCCTTTGTGGTTGTTGCTGTGAGTGATTCTGTCCATGAGCAGGTTTTCGCAGACTAATACTTCTAAGCAGCTGTTTTTGACCACTTAAAAATCCCTCATTAGCAAACTTTTAATTTGTAAAATATTTGTGTCTATATTTGTGGGTTGATGAGATGAGAGCAGATTAGGGTCGTCTTTGGCAATTGAATTTTTTGTTTGTTTGACTTTTTTCGCACTTTGGTCAGAGTAAGAGGTCAATAGCAGTCTGAGAGACAAACCACTGAAAATTGGCTGAAAGGACCATTTTTTCAACAAAAACAATAATAGTGGATTGAGATTGCAAGGTTTGAATGTCGCGGATCAATCCTGATAGTATCACTATAGTAGTGGGACCAAAAGTGCAAAAACTCTGTCTTAAGCGGATGAATGATTAGAGTCATGAATTTTGACACCAAAATAATTTTCGTGAATGAAAATTAGTATTAAAACAATAATCGTGAATAAACATTGATAAAAATTAAATATATAAACCAAAACTGTCATTTTACTAATATTGAGATATTTGCTTATTTATTTACTATCTAAAATCGGTGTGGACATTAATGGCTGTCGTTTTGGTACACGTTATTATTGTGGGTGCCATTATATTAATTGTATGTCTGAAATTGAGGTGTGACTGATGAGAACTGAATGAATTATATTAAACGAGATAATGACAGAGAGTATAGACAATGAAAATATATACAAGGAAGAGTTACAAACTGGAATAAGGAGTTATAAACTGACTCAAATACATAGAGTCATAATACTTCCCCTTCAAGCACATGGTATACTAGTAACCTGTAGCGCGTCTCTAAGGAAAGAAAATCTAGGGCCAAGTAGAGCTTTCGTCACTACTATAATGTTAACATTTAGTGACGTCTTTTAAACGTCACAAAAAATAAAAAAAAAATGCCAGCAAATGTATTTACCGACAAAATAAAAACGTCACCCCGACCATCGGGTTAGCGGCGTATGGAAATGTATTACTGACGAAGTTATGTTTTCATCACTAAATGTTACTATTACCGACGTTTTTGCATGGTCTTGATAATGTCATGGAATACATACATTTTGAGACGAAAGATAAACAAAAACTTTAGTAATAGTTTGTGACGAAATAAAATATTTAGTCAGAAAATGTGTCTTTACTGACGTTTTTCATAAAATGATGCTTGTCATGAATAAATTGAATTGACGAAGAAATTGGTAATGCGTCAAGAAAATAACATTTATTGACAATTATGTATATTATTATGCTTGTCATATAATTGCTGATGAAATACCAATTTGTCAATAAAAATACATTTACTGACGTTTTTCCATATATTCGTTGTCATCACTAAATTTTATATTTGGAGATATTTATAATTTTTTAATAATTGATAATTTACACATAGTTATATCTAAAAAGATTTTCACAACAATTTCATGTAATTGAAATAAAATAGTTTAGCATCAATTAAAATTTCAAAATAGAACAATATTTTTCATAGTACAATATTGAATTACAAGAATGTAATGTGATATAAATGGTTCCTAAATAAGTTGGTCATACTAGACGTGAGAATATATGCAATTCTATGCACATAAAGACAGATAATAATTCTTAAGTTTATCGAATTTATTGTTGTCGGCACTTTGGAAGTCCTTTGTCTTAGAGAGAATGTCTGATATGATGTCTGGTCGGGTCCGATTTGATGTCTAGATATGCAATAATTCCCTGCCATTAAAATACATAGATGTTTTTCAAGTATGAATAATAAATTATTCAAAATTATATATTCAATTCGATAGTTGATTTGTATCACTTTTATACTTATTTGTGCTTATATTTAAGGGAAAATTGTAAAAAATGCCCCTCTATAATATGTCAATTATCAATGTCATCCCTGAATTATGAGTGGTGTAAATGTTGTCCCTCAATTATCAAAATGGTGCACATATAGCTCCTCCCGTAACGGACATGTGGTTTCCCACCGCTGTCCATTGCTGGTACTTCGAATCGAGGGAGGGAAAAAACAACTAAATTACATATTTACTTCGACTTAACGGTGTCGTACACTAACGGGGAACCACATGTCCGTTACGGGAGGGGCTATATGTGCACCTTTTTGATAATTGAGGGGCAACATTTACACCACTCATAATTCAGGGGTGCATTGATAATTGACATATTATAGAGGGGCATTTTTTACAATTATCCCTATATTTAATTTCTAACATAACTTTCCTTTGCTAATATTTCATTTAGTTACTTATAGCATGTAATCATATTTCATTCTCCACTAATTTACTTCCAAAAATCAAAATTTATATAACAAAGAAATGTTAAATAAAGTTCCAAACTATGGGTTATACCTTCAAATTTTGGTATGCTCCTAACTGATATCATTAACTAAGTTGTCAATACTTAATACATACTCATGAAGACCTCTACAAAATCAAATCCAAGCTAATTTATGGTAAAATCTCCAAATTTAAAAGTATTCAACTTTTAGGAACACTGATTTCAAATAAATAAATAATCGGAACACATGAAGCTGAATAAGAAAATTTTAATTTTCTCTTTGAAAAGTTTATATTCTTTTATTATCAAAATTTCAAATGTCAAACATTACCTCCACAATTAAATTCTAGCAAAATGTCGAAAGAGAATCCAAAGCTAGTATGTTAAATTCAAAATCTGAAATTTTATAAAGACAAATAAAACTTGCTAAATCTATAAAACAATTTCAGGAGAAAATCACTATAAAAGTTTAGATATCAAGTATTCCATCGATAACAATATGTACCTTGTTGCATCAAGTTGCAATCTTGATGCTGCCATATATATACTGCAACTCAAATTCATAATTTTAATTTCCTAAGAAATAAGAATACCACAATTATGATCAAACAAAGATTAAAAGAATAAAACTAAAAGCAAACCACATAAAAATATTAGAATACCATCAAAAGGAACTTAGTATAAACGACAAAAAAATCAGTAATGCATGTAATGGTTAAAGTCCTTCTGTGCCTTCAAAAATAATAGCATAAATAACAGTACAATAACGTCATTTGGCATTCAACTCCAAAAAAATACACCCTTCAGAACAAAAAATAAATAAACAAATAAAATGAGTGTGTAAGAATAAGATTTACAAGTTTCACCCAAGTTTAATCTTATCATAAAAGCATAAACTTGATATCACACCATAATCTTAGCGATGTACTTTACCTTGTAAAGCTAAAAAGTGTTGCCTAATCTAAAAAATTAAGACTTGCAAATAATGGATTAAATATTATTTTACAGTGTAAGAATATTTATGGAGAGGTTAGGCAATTGGACAAAAATTAATTACCCTAAAATTAAATATGAAAAATAGAAAAGAAAAGTGTGATCTTGAGTAAAACAAAGTAACCATAAAAATTAAATGAAGCAAATATGATAAGTTTGCAGTGATGCAAGACACAATAACAGAGTGGGTCAGATGCAATGAAATCATGGGGTATTATATTAGTATGGAGAGAACTTAAACATACATTTTAACTATATAAAACCAGTGTTAGATTCCGTAATATCTATAGCAACAAAAAAATATTTCATAGTTGTTAAACCTCAAAAAAGCAATAAGAAATGAATGCTATAAGTTTGCTTCTCACCCTAAGCAATGATCCATCACAACAAGCAACTAAATCAATTGATATATTGTCATATTGTATGTCCAGGAGCCGTGAAACACACATTGTATAGAAGAAACATCACTAATCATAAAGTTATTAGGACTTGGACTGCTGCTGCCAAATTAAGTCATCGACAAGCTTTTTTAGTTAGGGGACCCAATTGCGGGATAGGGGACTAATTTGACCATTTTTCCATTCGTAAATGATATATACTCGGCGATTCCTAAAGCTATAAAAAATTAAAAATTAAATGTTATTTTAATTTCCACTATAAAGCTCATTACACAATATTTATTTCCGATGTTGCAATCTTAAAACAGGGGGAAACAAACATTATTAGCACCAAAGTATCCATGAAGATAAAATCAGAGAATGAAAAAAAAATATCACCTAAAATAAAAATAAATAAAATAAAATCGCTGTCGAGATTGCCGGCCGGTGAATATTCAAAAATAAAGTTTTAAAAAAGCATAAAAAACCACTATGAATCTTAGTTCTCTACAATTCTTTGAACCACTTTCAAGCTTAGCGGCTTCATCTTTATTGTCGAAGATGTTTACTGCCAAATATATTCTTCTAAAGGTATTGGATTTAAGGGGTGCTAAACTAGAGGAAATTCCAGAGGGACTTTTTAATTTGTTTCAATTGAAGTACTTGAGTTTGAGAAGCGTTTCCAAATCTATAGGACGTCTTCAAAACTTAGAGACGCTTGATCTTAAGGAAACTTATGTGGTTGAGTTGCCAGAGGAGCTCTTACAACTTTGTAAACTTTGGCATCTCCTTGTATACCGTTACCAAAGTATGCGGTTCAATCCTTGGACTAATGGTGCACAAATCTTTAATGCTCCATTTAAGATTGGGGAATTACTGTCTTTACAAAAGTTGTGTTATATACAAGCAAATGATACTAATGTAGTGTCTGAGATGGGAAAACTAACACAACTAAGAAGACTAGGAGTTAGAAAACTAAGACGAGAGGATGGCAAAGAATTTTGTTCGTCATTGGAAATGTTGACAAACCTTTGCTCTTTAAGTCTTGGGTCGAATTCAGAGGATGAGATCCTTGATATTCAGCATCCTCTGAACGTCATTCCTCTTCGTCTTCGTACATTAGAATTGATACGGCGTTTGGAAAGAGTACCTCAATGGTTATCCTCACTTGTAGGCTTAACCACTCTATGCTTGCAATGGAATGGACTTGTTGAAGATCCATTACCATTTTTCCAAGATCTGCCCCTGTTAGCATGTCTTCAATTTTCAAAGTCTTATGAAGGGGAAGGATTGTGCTTCAAGGCCAAAAAGTTCTCAAAGCTCAAGCATCTGTGTATCCGTAACTGCAACCCACTGAAATGGATAAGAATGGAGGAAGGTGCACTGCTTCATCTGGAAAAGTTTGAACTGGGAAAATGCAAATTGGTTGAGCAGATGCCGATGGGAATTGAACGTTTGTCTGATCTTAAGGTAATTACTATCTATGACTTGGCTGACAAATTCATTGCAAATTTAGACTCAGAAAGCAAACAAAGTGAAATGTATGCAAAGATATCTCACATTCCAAAAATTAACATTTCCCATGTCATAGAGGGTACGAGGAAGTTTTTCTTTTTGTCTTTCTTCCCAAAAGGTTGAATCTCCAATCCCAATGGGCCCCTACAGTCCGGCCCGACACAGCATCTAAGAGGTTAGACCTTTGCTTACTGCGTACAAGGAGTCCCTTCACTTTGTGAGATTGCTCTCACTGCCACTGGTGAGACTTGGTCTCTGGTCTTTCTTCCCAAACTTCACCCATGTGACCAAACTGAGCTGTTCATGCGGGCTAAGTTTTTCTTTTTGTGATTTAATGGCGGGTGGTCATGAGATTTAGTATGTTGTGTTGTATATATATACTTTGTGATTTAAATTTAGTTGTTTTCTAAAGTATTAAATTAAAACTTTTGATTGTAATATTAATTGATGGTAGCTAGATTATCATATGATTTTATTGTATTGTCTAGTACTCTTTGAAAGTGTTCATCACCAAAGATTATCCACAAGTCGTTTAATTTGCAGCATAGGTTTTTATAATACTCCAGTTTGGTAAAATAGTTAGTTTATCAGTCAATTTTAGATTGTTTGGTCACTATTAGTTGCTTGACTTAATTAAACAACCAATATAAGTGTTTGGTTAATTAACTTTTTGTAACAGTTTATTGCTCCAAAAGGCTAAAATTCAAAAAAGTTGTTCAAAACACCTTTTTCGATTATCTTTTTTGAGAAAGTCATTTGGTATATAATCATCTCTCAGCTAACAACTAATTTACCAAACATATTTCTACAATCAACCAATACTATCATCTAATCAAATCCACTAACCCAATCAGCTAATACTCTAATAGCTATCAGTCAACAACTATTTACCAAACACCGTACCCCCAATATGCCACCTTTTGGGGCACAATAATATTAGAGATTGCTATTATTATATTGTAGAGATTTTTAAGACATGATTGAATCTGTTGAATTAATTTTAAATTTCTTTTATATTTAATTTTTATTTAAATATGTCTCTAAATATAAAATTCTGTTGTATATATTATGTATAATTTTTTATGGTCTCTTAGCGGGATATGTTATTAACCACTTCACAAATCATATTTAAATTAATAACATATATACCATGTGCAGCAATACTGCCAATACAAGTCAGTTTTAGTTGTAAGTGTTTATTTGTAGTGATGCATGGCCCCTGAATGTAGTGATGCACTCATGATTGATTTTCGGTGATGAGATTGCAAAATGGATGCTTTTATTCTCGTTAATATATAAAACTTTTTCTAATGTTAACTAATTACTTACACTTGTGCTATACTTTAGTGTCATAACTCCATTTATGACATTTAAATAGTTTGGGCAAATATGGATTCAGATTTCAGATGATGGATTTAATGAAGGTGCATTCAAATTAGATAACATTTTCCTTTGGTCAAGTAAATTTTTTGCATCTATGCAGTCCACTTCTCACAAAACAAAACTAATCTAGCGGAGTTAATTTTAATCTTAAAAGGATAACCCAGTGTGTGTTCTTCAAAAACAAAACAAGAAAAGCTCAATAATAATTTATAATTCTAATTTCAAAAACAGAGTAAATATTTTAACCAAAGCAATGAATATAAGCATCATCACATTAACAGAGTCAAAGTACAAGGAAGAAGCCTTCAACACCACAACCCAATGAAGTACATTATTTTATATATTGTACCTTCAGTACAAAAATAATGTACTTTTAAGTACAAAAATAATGTAGTTTCAATATATTAAAAAATGTATTTGATATTTTATGCTTTCAATAAATTAAAAAATGTACTTGATATTCATGGTTCACACAATAATTTACAACTTACTTATATGTGGGGCTAACATTTAGGTAGTTTGGGTAAATATGGATCATGGGTTTAATGAAGCTGCATTTGAAATTGATAACAACTTTTTCCTTTAGTAGAGTTCATTTTTTCCATCCAGCACTAGCATCTACTTGTGTAATAAGACTAATCCTGACTAGTTATTATGAACTTAAAAGGATAATTAAAATTAAAATTAACAAAAGTAAAAATACACAATAGTGTATTATTCTAATTTCAAAACTACACTAAATGTATATCCAATTGTTACACCATGGACGATGGTTCATATTGCATTGTGAACCGTAGTCTAAAAATTATGCATCTGCCGTTGATACATTCTGTACCTACAATTAACAGTTTCTGCACCTGTTAACAAATTGAAGACACATAACATGATAATTACGAACACATAAATATAACTACATACACATAAATAGTTAACTATAGATACAAAATATGTTAATTGTGAACACATAAGATGTTAATTACCATGTTTTGTGTTTACAGTTAACATATTATGTACTTACCATTAATAGTTTGTGTCTGTAATTATCATGTTATGTGCCTTCAATTTTTTACAGGTACAAAACCGGTTAACTATAGGTACAAAATGTCTCAATTACAGAAACATTATCTAAAGGTTATTTTTAGACCAGGCCAGAGTCCACAATACATGGTAGACCTGGTCTATTGTATAATTTGCCATGTACATCCATCTAAAATGTGAAATGAAGGCACATTGACCAAAGCAATAGAATGAATATAAGCATTGATGGATTTAATTAACCCGGGGTGGCCCGAATTATTAAACCCGGATAAGAACATAATATGGGAAATATATAAACGGGACAAAACAATGTCGTAAGGCCGCAGGGACCGTAGGTCGTGAGGACCGCATATTATATTAAAT